GACTATAGATTAGTCTATATTCCAGACTATAGATTAGTCTATAGTCCAGACTATAGAATAGTCTATAGTCCAGACTATAGATAAGTCTGTAGCCCACACTATAGATTAGTCTATAGTCCAGACTATAGAGTAGTCTATCGTCCAGACAATAGAATAGTCTATAGTCCAGACTGTAGTATAGTCTATAGTCCAGACTATAGAATAGTCTATAGTCCAGACTAAAGAATAGTCTATAGTCCAGACTAAAGAATAGTCTATAGTCCAGACTATAGAATAGTCTATAGTCCAGACTAAAGAATAGTCTATAGTCCAGACTATAGAATAGTCTATAGTCCAGACTATAGAATAGTCTATAGTCCAGACTATAGAATAGTCTATAGTCCAGACTATAGAATAGTCTATAGTCCAGACTATAGAATAGTCTATAGTCCAGACTATAGAATAGTCTAATAGAATAGTCTATAGTCCAGACTATAGAATAGTCTATAGTCCAGACTATAGATTAGTCTATAGTCCAGACTATAGATTAGTCTATAGTCCAGACTATAGATTAGTCTATAGTCCAGACTATAGATTAGTCTATAGTCCAGACTATAGAATAGTCTATAGTCCAGACCATAGATTAGTCTATATTCCAGACTATAGATTAGTCTATAGTCCAGACTATAGAATAGTCTATCGTCCAGACAATAGAATAGTCCATAGTCCTGACTATAGAAAAGTCTATAGTCCAGACTATAAAATAATCTATAGTCCAGACTGTAGTATAGTCTACAGTCCAGACTAAATAGTCTACAGTCCAGACTATAGAATAGTCTATAGTCCAGACTATAGAATAGTCTATAGTCCAGACTATAGAATAGTCTATAGTCCAGACTATTGAATAGTCTATAGTCCAGACTATAGAATAGTCTATAGTCCAGACTATAGAATAGTCTATAGTCCAGACTATAGAATAGTCTATAGTCCAGACTATAGAATAGTCTATAGTCCAGACTATAGAATAGTCTATAGTCCAGACTATAGAATAGTCTATAGTCCAGACTATAGAATAGTCTATAGTCCAGACTATAGAATAGTCTATAGTCCAGACTATAGAATAGTCTATAGTCCAGACTATAGACTATAGAATAGTCTATAGTCCAGACTATAGATTAGTCTATAGTCCAGACTATAGATTAGTCTATAGTCCAGACTATAGAATAGTCTATAGTCCAGACTAAAGAATGGTCTATAGTCCAGACTATAGGATAGTCTATAGTCCAGACTATACAATAGTCTATAGTCCAGACTACTATATAGTCCAGACTATAGAATAGTCTATATTCCACACTATAGATTAGTCTATATTCCAGACTATAGATTAGTCTATAGTCCAGACTATATAATAGTCTATAGTCCAGATAAAAATATTAAAATATTCTACAACTTAAAAATGCAAATTTTGACATCTTAATCTGGGAGTTTTGCTAATTTAAATTCTGGCAACTCCATAATACAAAAACTACATAAAGCTTTAAATATAGAAAAGCTTTTCTAACCTAACTGTTATACTCTGTTATAAAAGTTTTATAAATGTGTTAAAACACACATAAAAGCTTTATTTATAAAAAGTTTTTTTTTATGGTCGCTTTTATTTATAACTAAAGCTCACTATTTATAAAAATTAAGCTTATGGCAATCACATGGTCCTGTGGCGCAATGGATAACGCGTCTGACTACGGATCAGAAGATTCCAGGTTCGACTCCTGGCAGGATCGCAGAGAATTTTTTTTATATATTTTTTTAAATTTTTTACTTAATTTTGAAATAACTAAATGATCAAGTTCAACAAGATCAAGAGAAATAGTAAAAGTAGTGAGATAAAAAAAAGTTCAATGATTTCAATCAATGTTTTATTGTTGAGACATTGATCATAATTGCTGTTGACAAAGTGTTTGACAGTTTATATCCCCCCCTTAGAAAATGTTAATTTAAATATTTTGTCTATGTTTTGTTTTAGCGATAACTCCTAAGTAGTGACATTTTATATTTGGGCGGTGCTGATTTATATGGCAGATTTTGCGTATATGGACAAAAATGATATGAGTTTATTTTATTAATTAACACATTTATTTGTAAGATAAATATTTAAACAGTTTGTTTATGTTTTCAATTGGAATTTTCAAAATTCCTTCAGTTAGATAGACTATATTTTTAAACTAAAAGACCTCCCTATTGTAAAATGCTTTTTTTCTTTAAGTTGTTAAATTATGCACAATAAATAGAGAGTCGATACATAATAAATTTATTTTTTATTTACAAATTTACGTAGATATGCATGTGTGGGCAAATGTGTGTTTAAAATTTGTTTGTATTCAAAGTTATGAATTGTGTACTTTTTCATATAAACGTGATTGAATTTGCATTAAAAATTGTCGTTATTGTTGATCACAATTTTTCGATTTTGATAATAATTATAATTTCTTTAGTTTATCTGTTAAGTAATTGTTTTAAGTTTTTAACAGAAACTGTAAGTAATACAGTGGTGTTTAAAACTACACTGGTTCAGGCTATAATCCATGCTATAGGCTATAGTATGGACTACGGCATAGCTAGACTAGAGGCTAGCCTACAGAAGAGACTATAGAATAGACCGTAGAGTGGACTATAGAGTAAACTGTGGACTAGTATATAGACTACACTATAGACTAGAATATTGACTAGACTAAAGACTATACAATAGACTAGACAGATATACTATAGACTATACTATAGACTATACTATATACTAGACTATAGACTAGACTAGAGTATAGACTAGAGTTTAGACTAGACTAGACTATAGACTAGACTATAGACTAGACTATAGACTAGACTATAGACTAGACTATAGACTAGACTAGACTATAGACTAGATTATATACTAGACTATAGACTAGACTATATACTAGATTATAGACTAGACTACAGACTAGACTACAGACTATACTATAGACTAGACTATAGACTAGACTGTAGACTAGACTATAGACTAGACTATAGACTAGACTAGGCTATATACTAGACTATAGACTAGACTATATACTAGACTAGACCATAGACTAGATTATAGACTAGGCAATAGACTAAACTATAGACTAGACTATAGACTAGACTATAGACTAGACTATAGACTAGACTATAGACTAGACTATAGACTAGACTATATACTAGACTATAGACTAGACTATAGACTAGACTATAGACTAGACTATAGACTAGACTATAGACTAGGCTATAAACTAGACTATAGACTAGACTATAGACTGGACTATAGACTAGACTATAGACTAGACTATAGACTAGACTATATACTAGACTATAGACTAGACTATAGACTAGACTATAGACTAGACTATAGACTAGACTAAAGATTAGACTATAGACTAGACTATAGACTAGACTAGACTAGACTAGACTAGACTAGACTATAGACTAGACTATAGACTAGACTGTAGACTAGACTGTAGACTAGACTATAGACTAGACTATAGACTAGACTATAGACTAGACTATAGACTAGACTATAGACTAGACTATAGACTAGACTATAGACTAGACTATAGACTAGACTATAGACTAGACTATAGACTAGACTATAGACTAGACTATAGACTAGACTATAGACTAGACTATAGACTAGACTATAGACTAGACTATAGACTAGACTATAGACTAGACTATAGACTAGACTATAGACTAGACTATAGACTAGACTATAGACTAGACTATAGACTAGACTATAGACTAGACTATAGACTAGACTATAGACTAGACTATAGACTAGATTATAGACTAGACTATAGACTAGACTATAGACTAGACTATACACTAGACTATAGACTAGACTATAGACTAGACTATAGACTAGATTATAGTCTACATAGTCTAGTCTATAGTTTAGTCTATAGTCTAGTCTAGTCTATAAGTCTAGTCTAGTCTATAGTCTAGTCTATAGTCTAGTCTATAGTCTAGTCTATAGTCTAGTCTATAGTCTAGTCTATAGTCTAGTCTATAGTCTAGTCTACAGTCTAGTCTACAGTCTAGTCTATAGTCTAGTCTATAGTCTAGTCTATAGTCTAGTCTATAGTCTAGTCTATAGTCTAGTCTATAGTCTAGTCTATAGTCTAGTCTATAGTCTAGTCTATAGTCTAGTCTATAGTCTAGTCTATAGTCTAGTCTACAGTCTAGTCTTTAGTCTAGTCTGTAATCTATTCTATAGTCTAGTCTATAGTATAGACTAAATTCTAGACAAGTCAATAGTCCTTACTATAATTTAAACTATATTCCATATTATAGAATAACTTATAGTCCAGACTATAGATCTCCCAGCTTAAACCCAACATTGATCATATTCATTTCTCCAATACTGTTACCGACAAATGTTAAATACTTAACAGAGAGCTGTAAACTCTAACTAAATAAACGTTATTTTTAGTGTTTGGGTTTTTCTTTTAGTTTAACATACAAACCGTTACACTTGGCAATCGTTTCTCTGAACTCACATACACAATGACACACATACATAAATTTTAACAGAAGAGGCGCTTTGTTTTGTTGCTGATATTTTAGTGTTGTTGTTTATGTAGAGTGTTGCTGACTTGACCAATAAACACCATTAATTGGCGTATCGAACAGTTTTTTGTTCATAATTCAGTTGCACAGTAGATGTTATTGTAAATGGTGGTGGCATAAAACAATCAAACAAATACAATATAGAAAAGTTTAGTAAAAAAAATACCGATCATTGGTAAATTGAGTAATAAAAAAATAATTAAAAAAAATAATAAACAAAGAAAAAAATTTAACAATTAAGAAATCTATGAAAAAATTGCAAGAAATTGCAAATGCATTCTGAAAGAAAATAATAATTATTTAAAGGCGGATGTTTTAAAACTAAAACAATCAACTTTTTTTTAGAAATGTATAATTTTCTAGTTTTGTTTATAATTATTTTCTAAACAAACATTTAATTGATAGTGTTTAAATGTTAAACAAATAATAGAAAATAAAACGGTAGTTAGTGCAATAAATAAACAAAAAAAAAAAAAAAATCAGTCAATTCTCTACAATAGCATTGCATTAAACGTGTAAATTTGCAATCTTGTAAAAAATTAAATTAAATTATGTATTTCAAATGGCCCGCCTTGTTGTTCGTTATAATTATTTTAAATTTCTGTTTTATTTCTGTAAAATCGGATATAAATATAACAACTAATAAATTGAGCAGTTTAAATAGTCATTATAAATATACTACTGATAATTCCTACAATGCCAAGGACAACAACAGCAACAATAATAATAATGAAAGCAGCGATAGCAGCAACAATAGTAAAAATAATAGAGCTGGTGGCGATAACAGCAACAACGATAGTCCAGCAACAACAGTACAAGAACCTATAAAGAATTCTTTAGCACCCCCACATATTATTTTTATTTTAGCTGATGATTTGGTAAGTTTTTTTTAATAGAAATAGCAAAAAAAATTATAGAAATCATATTCATATTAAAGTTCAGGAAGTTTAAAGAGATATGAATAGTTTATTTTTATATTACACAGGGCTACACTGATTGTATATGTATAGAGTGCGGTTTATATAGAAATCATAGTCTGGTACAAATACAAAATAGAGTCTATAACTGGACACTATAATCTATTCAATATAGAGACTCTATATAAAGACACTAGTCTCGTATACATAAAGACTATAGTCTGGTCTAACTATAGACTATAGTCTCTCGAGATTATAGTGTTAAATATAGACGATACTGTAGTCTCGTCTATATAGAGACTATAGTCCCGTCTATATAGAGACTATAGTCTCGTCTATATAGAGACTACAGTCTCGTCTATATAGAGACTATAGTCTCGTCTATATAGATACTATAATCTCCTCTATATAGAGACTATAGTCTCGTCTATATTGAGACTATAGTCTCGTCTATATTGAGACTATAGTCTCGTCTATATTGAGACTATAGTCTCGACTATATAGAGACTATAGTCTCGACTATATAGAGACTATAGTCTCGACTATATAGAGACTATAGTCTCGACTATATAAAGACTATATAGAGACTATAGTCTCGACTATATACAGACTATAGTCTCATCTATATAAAGATTATAATCTCATCTATATAGACATTGTTATTTCGTCTATATATATAGATATAGACTATAGTCTCGACTATATAGAGACTATAGATCTATATAGATACTATAATCTCCTCTATATAGAGACTATAGTCTCGTCTATATTGAGACTATAGTCTCGTCTATATTGAGACTATAGTCTCGACTATATTGAGACTATAGTCTCGTCTATATTGAGACTATAGTCTCGTCTATATTGAGACTATAGTCTCGTCTATATAGAGACTATAGTCTCGTCTATATAGAGACTATAGTCTCGTCTATATAGAGACTATAGTCTCGTCTATATAGAGACTATAGTCTCGTCTATATAGAGACTATAGTCTCATCTATATAGAAACTATAGTCTCGTCTATACAGAGACTATAGTCTCGTCTATATAGAGACTATAGTCTCGTCTATATAGAGACTATAGTCTCGTCTATATAGAGACTATAGTCTCGTCTATATTAGGACTATAGTCTCGTCTATATAGAGACTATAGTCTCGTCTATATAGAGACTATAGTCTCGTCTATATAGAGAGTATAGTCTCGTCTATATAGAGAGTATAGTCTCGTCTATATAAAGACTATAGTCTCGTCTATATAGAGACTATAGTCTAGTCTATATAGAGACTATAGTCTCATCTATATAGACACTATAATCCCGTCTATACAAAGACTATAGTCGCGTCTATATAGAGACTATAGTCGCGTCTATATAGAGACTATAGTCTCGTTTATATAGAGACTATAGTCTCGTCTATATAGAAACTATAGTCTCGTCTATATAGAGAGTATAGTCTCGCCTATTTAGAGAGTATAGTCTCGTCTACATAGGAACTATAGTCTCGTCTATATAGAGAGTATAGTCTCGTCTATATAGAGAGTATAGTCTCGCCTATTTAGAGACTATAGTCTCGTCTACATAGGAACTATAGCCTCGTCTATATAGAGACTATAGTCTCGTCTATATTGAGACTATAGCCTCGTCTATATTGAGACTATAGACTCGTCTATATTAAGACTATAGTCTCGTCTATTTTGAGACTATAGTCTCGTCTATATAGAGACTATAGTCTTGTCTATATTGAGTATATATAGAGGCTTTAGTCTCGTCTATATTGGGACTATATGGAGACTATAGTCTCGTCTATATAAAGACTACAGTCTCGTCTATATAAAGACTACAGTCTCGTCTATATAGAGACTATAGTCTAGTCTATATAGAGACTATAGTCTCATCTATATAGACACTATAATCCCGTCTATACAAAGACTATAGTCGCGCCTATATAGAGACTATAGTCGCGTCTATATAGAGACTATAGTCTTGTCTATATAGAGGCTGTAGTCTCGTTTATGTAGATACCATAGTCTCGTCTATATAAAGACTATAGTCTCGTCTATATACAGATTATAGTTTCGTCTATATGGAGAATATAGTCTAATCTATATAGAGACTATAGAGTCTATAGTATAGACTCTTCTATATAGAGACTATAGACTGTTCTATATAGAGCATGTCTATATATAACTCTATAGTCTCGTGTATATAGAGACTATAGTCTCGTCTATATAGAGGCTATGGTATCATCTATATAGAGGCTACAGTCTATACAGAGGCTATAATCTCATCTATATAGAGACTGCAGTTTCGTCTATATATAACACTATAATCTCGTCTATATAGAGACTATAGTCTAGTCTTTATAGATACTATAGTCTAGTCTTTACAGAAACTATAGTCTAGTCTATGTTAACACTTTAGTCTCGCCTACTTAAAGACGTTAATTTAGTAATTTTATCTGTATAGATACTATAGTATCATCTATATATAGACTAGATTCTCTTTATATATTAAAATGTTAGATATTAATGAAACAACTTGATTTTAAGCTTAATAAAATATTTCCATTTTTAGGGTTTCAATGATGTTGGCTTTCGTGGATCTTCAGAAATTCCAACACCAAATATTGATGCTTTAGCATTTTCTGGTATAATCTTAAATAGATATTATGTAAATCCGATATGTACACCATCAAGATCGGCGTTAATGACGGGAAAATATCCAATACACACGGGTAAGTTACAAATTATAGAATTTCTTTGGTAATATATAAATTTTATCTTTGTTATTAATTATTAGGCATGCAACACACAGTACTCTATGGTGCTGAACCCCGGGGACTGCCCTTAAATGAAAAATTAATGCCTCAATATTTCAATGATCTTGGGTATATATGATAATCTGCAAAAGATTTCTTTAAATTAGAAATTCAATATTTTAATTTTAGATACTCTTCCCATATTGCCGGCAAATGGCATTTGGGTCATTATAAACGTGTCTACACACCACTTTTTAGAGGTTTTCGCACTCATGTGGGCTATTGGACGGGTCATCATGATTATTTTGATCATACAGCTGTGGAGTCACAACAATGGGGTTTAGATTTAAGAGATGGTAATTAAATTGATTACGATTATATGACAATTTATGTTTAATTTTCTTCTTTTTGTCTTAAGGTTTGGATGTGGGCTATGATTTACATGGTAAATATACCACCGACTTGGTAACAGAAGAATCTTTGAGAGTTATAGCAAATCATAATGCTTCAAGTCCTTTATTTTTATATGTCTCACATGCTGCAGTGCATTCGGGTAATCCGTATAATCCTTTACCAGCACCAGATGAAGCAGTAGCGAAGTTGCAACATATTGGAAATTATAATAGACGAAAGTATGCAGGTGAGTTGAGTGTCTATAAAGGCGAGATTATAGTCTCTAATAAGGTTATACAGAAGTGTCTATATAGTACATATGTGGTGATACTAAAGTCAATAATTTATAGTCAAAATGGCAGTTCATATATAGTCGAGACTACAGCCTTCATAAAGTTGAGATTAATGTCTATATGTTATCAAGATAGAAGAGGCGGTATACACCATATATTCCAGAATATAGTCTCTATATAGTCGGGACTATAGTCTTTATATAGGCGAGACTATAATCTCTACATAGTCGAGCCTATAGACTCTATATTGTCGAGATTATACTCTATATAGTCGAGACTATAGTCTCTATATAGATGAGACTACAGTCTATATAGACGAGACTATAGTATCTATATAGTTGAGAATTTAGTCGAGACTATAGTCTCTATATAGTCGAAACAATAGTATCTGTATAGACGAGACTATAGTCTCGACATAGACGAGACTATAGTCTCGACATAGACGAGACTATAGTCTCTATATAGTCGAGACTATTGTCTCTATATAGTCGAGACTATAGTCTCTATATAGACAAGACTATAGTCTCCATATAGTCGAGACTATAGTCTCTATATAGACGAGACTATAATGTCTACACATCGATACTATAGATTCTATATTGTCGAGATTATACTCACTATATGATAGAGTCTATGGCCTCTATATTGTCGAAACTATAGTCTCTATATAGGCGAGACTATAATCGAGAATATAGTCGAGACTATAATCGAGAATATAGTCGAGAATATAGTCGAGACTATAGTCACATTATAATCGAGACTATAGCCTCTATATAGTAGAGAGTATAGACTCTACCCAGTCGAGTCTATAGTCTTTATATAGTCGAGTCTATAGTCTCTATATAGTCGAGACTATAATGTCTATATAGTCGAGACTATAGTTTCTATATAGATGGGACTATAGTTTCTATATAGTCTAGATTATAGGCCCTATATTGTCGAAACTATAGCCTCCATAAAGATGAGATTGAGTTCTATATATTACCATGATTGTAGTATTTATATAGTCGAGAATGTATACAGTATATAATGGATACCATAGTCTTTATATACTGGAGAATATAGTATTTATATAGGCAATACTATGGTCTCTATACAGTTCAGACTTTAGTCATTATATATTCTAGATAACAGTCGAGTCTATGGTATCTGTATAATTGACACTATAGTCTTCATATAGCCGAGACTATAGTCTCTATACAATCAATACTATAGTCTCTATTCAGTCGATACTATAGTCTCTATACAGTCGAGACTATAGCCTCTATATAGTCGAGAATATATTCTCTATACACTCAATACTATAGTCTCTATACAGTCGAGACTATAGTCTCCATATAGCAGAGACTAGAGTATATAGTTTATACTACATTTTTGGTGAATGTATACCTTCTAAACTCTGCCTATAGCTTCCCAGTATTTGCAATTAAATTTACCCTTTACAATTTGGGTTTGAGGGTATGAAATGTTTTACCAAAACATTGGAAAATATCTAATTAATACAATTAAAAATTAGCAAATAAAAACAAATAATAAATAGTCAACGTTAGACTGTAGCATGCAATTGTACTGCATTCATCCATTACTCTCATTTTTATTTGCTGTAAGCAATTAAATCATATTTTTTTTTTTTTTTTGCAACATTCACACATTTTCAATTTTTGTTCCCACAACAACACGTCATACCATCACAAAGAAGTGGAGATCCAAAATCTGTACTAATTACTTAGTTCACATTGACATCACTGGAAAAGACACGGTGGTATCTTTGTGTGTGTGTGTTGGAAATAATTAGTTATAATTAATAAATGTTAACTATATCATAAACATTAATTTAATATTTTTTTGTGTCAATCTTGAAATTATTACAGCGATGGTTACCAAACTAGATGATTCAGTGGGTCGTATAGTGCAACAATTGCAAAAGCAAAATATGCTTAATGATTCCATTATAATTTTTAGTACAGATAATGGTGGACCGGCAGAGGGTTTTAATTTAAATCATGCTTCGAATTGGCCTTTAAGGGGTGTAAAGAATACTCTGTGGGAGGGTGGTATCAGAGGTGCGGGTTTAATATGGTCACCACGTTTGAAAAACACTAGAAGAGTGGCTGATCAAACTATACATATAGCCGACTGGATACCCACTCTATTGACAGCCATTAAAGGGGAAAAGGGTGTGGAGTAGGTATCAAAAGTTATATAAACTTTAAATTTGTAATCCTTAACATTTCCTTTTTCTATATAGCAATATTTCCCAGCAACTGGATGGTCTTAGCATTTGGCAAGCCTTATCTAATGACGAAACCTCCCCACGTCGCAGTACTCTCCATAATATAGATGATATTTGGGGTAGTGCCGCTTTAACCGAAGGCGATTGGAAAGTGGTTAAGGGCACCAACTACAAAGGTGCCTGGGATGGCTGGTATGGACCTGCTGGCGATCGTGATGCTCGTTCATATGATTATAAAGCTATACGTTCCTGTTATGCTGGTCGTGCTTTGGCCACACTTAATATGTTACCCACCCCAGCCGATATAACACGCATGCGCAGCGAATCGAATATAGATTGTACCGCACGCAGACCTTATCTTAAGCAGGGAACTGTATGTAAACCGTTAGTTAAACCGTGTTTGTTTAATATTAGAGATGATCCCTGTGAGATATATAATTTAGCACAAAAGTAAGTTTATATTTTTAAGTTTTCTTTTTATAAACTATAGGAGATGATGAGAATATAGTCTCTCTATAAAGTGAATACAAAAGTTTCAATTTAGTCTCTATATAGTCTTAATATAGCCGATACTAAAATCTATATATAACCGATAACACCACGATTTATCAAGTGGAGACTATTGTCTCTATATAGTCGAGACAATAGCATCAATATAGTCCAGATTATAATCTTTATATAGTCGAGTCTATGGTCTATGTTTGGTGAGAATAGAGTATCTATATAGACGAGAATATAGACGCTATAAAGTGTCAACATAGACAGTACTTTGGACGAGACTTTCTGTAGACGAGACTATAGTCTCTATATAGTTGAGACAATAGTATTTATAAATAGGCGAAACTAAAGTCTCTATATAGACGATACTATAGTCCTATATAGATTCGACTTATAGTCTCTGTATAGACGATGCTATAGTATCTATATAGACGAGACTATAGTCTGTATATAGACGAGACTATAGCCTCTATATAGACAAGAATATAGTTTCTACATAAACAAGACTATAGTCTCTATATAGACGAGACTATAGTCTGTATATAGACGAGACTATAGTCTGTATATAGACGAGACTATAGTCTGTATATAGACGAGACTATAGTCTGTATATAGACGAGACTATAGTCTCTATATAGACGAGGCTATAATCTCTATATAGACGATACTATAGTCTCTATATAGACAAAACTATAGGCTCTATGTATACGAGACTTTGGTATCTCTAGACGAAACTATAGTCTCTATTTAGACGAGGCTATAGTCTCTATATAGACGAGACTATAGTCTCTATGTAGACGAGACCATAGTCTCTATATAGACGAGACTATAGTCTTTATATAGACGGGACTATAGTCTCTATATAGTCCCTATATAGTCAAGACAATAACCTCTATATAGTCGAGACTATAGTATCTCTATAGACGAGACTGTTAGTCTGTATATAGATAAGACTATAGTCTCTATAGACGAGACTATAGTCTCTATATAGAAGAGACTATAGTCTCTATATAGACGAGACTATAGTCTCTATATAGACGAGACTATAGTCTCTATATAGACGAGACTATAGTCTCTATATAGACGAGACTATAGTCTCTATATAGACGAGACTATAGTCTATATATAGACGAGACTATAGTCTCTATATAGACGAGACTATAGTCTCTATATAGACGAGACTATAGTCTCTATATATACGAGACTATAGTTACTATATAGACGAGACTATAGTCTTTATATAGACGAGACTATAGTTACTATATGGACGAGACTATAGTCTCTATATAGACGAGACTATTGTCTCTATATAGACGAGACTATAGTCTCTATATATGAGACTATAGTCTCTATATAGATTAGACTATAGTCTCTATATAGATGAGACTACAGCCTCTATATAGGCAAGAATATAGTTTCTTCATAGACAAGACTATAATCTCTGTATAGACGAGACTATAGTCTGTACATAGACGAGACTATAGCCTCTATATAGACGAGGCTATAATCTCTATATAGACGATACTATAGTCTCTATATAGACAAAACTATAGGCTCTATATATACGAGAATATGGTATCTCTAGACGAAACTATAGTCTCTATATAGACGAGGCTATAGTCTCTATATAGACGAGACTACAGTCTCTATATAGACTAGTCTACAGTCTTTATATAGAGACGGGACTATAGTCTCTATATAGACGAGACTATAGTCTCCATATAGTCCCTATATAGTCAAGACAATAATCTCTATATAGTCGAGACTATAGTATCTCTATAGACGAGACTATAGATGAGACTATAGTCTCTATATAGTCGAAACTATAGTCTCTACATAGTTCCTATATAGTCAAGACCATAATATATCTATATAGATGAGACTGTAGTCTCTATGTAGACGAGACCATAGTCCCTAAATAGACGAGACTATAGTCTCTATATAGATGAGACTACAGTCTCTATATAGATGAGACTACAGTCTCTATATAGTCCCTATATAGTCAAGACCATAATATCTATATAGATGAGACTATAGTCTCTATGTAGACAAGACTATAGTATCTATGTAGACAAGAGTATAGTCACTATACAGACGAAACTATAGTCTCTATATAGACGCGACTGTAGTACTTTTGTTGACGAAGCTATAGTCTTAACATAGACGGGATTATAGTATCCAAAGTTAAGAATAGACAAGACCTCTATATTCAGATATTAGGAGATACTACTCCTTTGATATAAAAAAAAATTTTTTTTTTTTTTTTTCCAATTCAGATATCCAAATATTTTAAAGGCCCTATTAGAGGAATTAGACAACTTTAATGCCACAGCTGTGCCGCCCTCAAATCTACCCTTAGATCCCCGTGCCAATCCCAGTAGATGGAATTACACCTGGACTAATTTTGGAGACTATGAAGAATATCAAAAATCCTATATGGTAATAGGAGATTTTTGAAATCTTTTTGCTATATACAAAAATAATATTTAAGTTATTTAATAAAACAAATTCTATATTTTATATTAAGAAATATTTTATTATTTCAATATCGTTTCATTTCCATTTCACAGTATTTTAAAAATTTCATTTTACAAATCATAGTTTGTAAACTTAATACAGATGCTAAGTAGACTTATAATTAGTTTATGTAGTATTATTTAAATACTTGATTCTTTATATTTTTTTTTTTGGGAGACCTTTTCTTACAGAAAAGAACTGGATTTTCTTTAAACTATATAATAATGATGATATAATGAAAGTGCTGCTTAGGAGATAAATATTCAGTTAAGTTATAAAGGAGCTAGAAAATAATTGATGATTAGGAAAAGGTGCAAAGAATGAAATTGTATGAAGTTTTTTTTTTCTAAAAAAAAAACTAAAATGCAAATCTATTTTAAAAGTAATAGAGTATTTTTGTTTCGTTTAAATATGCCACAACTGGTTTATCGTTTGTAATTATAAAAAAATCCTTAAAATTATTTAAATTAAAAGAAAAATAAACTAGATTATAGAAAAAATAGTCTAGAAAAATTATAGCCTTAATTTGAGAAAAAAATAATATATAAAAAAAAATAAACTAAACAATTCCTAGTAAGTTCCTTGCAGTAATTAACATTAAACCTTATAGCAAATAGCCTGAACGTCAACATTTTGTAGAGGATTCGTAGAGCTTTTAATAACGGTAGCCACTGCCATCATTATCACCATTTTGTCCACCTGAACCAAAGCCATTAGAACCTTGTTGTTCATAGTTATAGCCATTGGCACCACCACCGCCATTACCACCATTACGGCCTCCACCGTTACCACCACCATTACGATAACCACCATTGCCAATACCATTGCGACCACCTCCATTACCGCCGCCATTAGGACGGCCACTAGAATAACCTTGGCCATTGTTATATTGACCACCTCCATTGCCATTACCGCCATTACGTCCACCACCACCATTACCGCCATTGGGAGCACCACTTGAGTAACCATTAGAACCCAAATCCTGGCCACCAGGTCTGCCATTACTATAACCATTTGAGCCTAAACTTTGGCCACCGGGTCTGCCACCGCTATAACCATTAGAACCTAAACTTTGACCACCTCCATTGCGACCACCATTGCCATTGGAATAACCATTACCACCGCCATTACCTCCATTGCCTCCACCATTAGGACGTCCACTCGAATAACCATTGGCACCCAAATCTTGTCCTGAACTATAGCCACCATTACCTCCACTGCCACCATTACCGCCACCATTCTGTTGATAATCATAACCACCATCAGCACCTCCTGCACCACCAGCTCCTCCAGCACCACCACCCTGTCCTCCTTCAATGGCATCACCTTCATAACGTATCTGTGGACGATAACCTTCTTGATCGGCTTCATATTCCACAACCTACAGAGAGAAAAAATATAATAAAAATTCTAGACAAGAGTTCTCCTTCTTCAATGACAAGGAGACAGTCTTAAAGCTGCTCCAGGAATGTATTACAATTACAAGATTCTCTTATTAGATGACGTGGGAGACTAATGACTCTATACAGAGGAGACTATAGATTCTATATTGACAAGACTATAGTCTATATATAGACGAGACTATAGTGTCTATATGGCCGAGACTAAAGTCTCTATATAATCGAGACTAAAGTCTTTATATAGTCGAGACTATAGTCTCTATATAGTCGAGACAATAGTCTCTATATAGACAAGACTATAGCCTCTATATAGACGAGACTATAGTCTCTATATAGACGACACTATAGTATCTTTATAGACGAGATTATAGTATATATATGTAGAGACTATAGTCTCTATATAGATGAGACTATAACCTCTATATAGACGAGACTATAGCCTCTATATAGACGAGACTATAGCCTCTATATAGACGAGACTATAGCCTCTATATAGACGAGACTATAGTCTCTATATAGACGAGACTATAGTCTCTATATAGATGAGACTATAGCCTCTATATAGACGAGATTATAGTATCTACATAGACGAGACTATAGTCTCTATATAGACGAGACTATAGTCTCTATAAAGACGAGACTATAGTCTCTATATAGACGAAACTATAGTCTTTATATAGACGAGACTATAGTCTCTATATAGACGAGACTATAGTCTCTATATAGACGACACTATAGTCTCTTTATAGACGAGATTATAGTATATATGTGTAGAGACTATAGTCTCTATATAGATGAGACTATAGCCTCTATATAGACGAGACTATAGCCTCTATATAGACGAGACTATAGTCTCTATATAGACGAGACTATAGTCTCTATATAGATGAGACTATAGCCTCTATATAGGCGAGATTATAGTATCTATATAGACGAGACTATAGTCTCTATATAGACGAGACTATAGTCTCTATATAGACGAGACTATAGTCTCTATATAGACGAAACTATAGTCTTTATATAGACGAGACTATAGTCTATATATAGACGAGACTATAGTCTCTATATAGACGACACTATAGTCTCTTTATAGACGAGATTATAGTATATATATGTAGAGACTATAGTCTCTATATAGATGAGACTATAGCCTCTATATAGACCAGACTATAGCCTCTATATAGACGAGACTATAGTCTCTATATAGACGAGACTATAGTCTCTATATAGACGACACTATAGTCTCTATATAGACGAAACTATAGTCTTTATATAGACGAGACTATAGTATCTATATAGACGAGACTATAGTCTATATACAGGCTGGATTATATCATCTATATAGACGACACTATATAGACAGGAGACAGTAGTAGTATATAGTATATATATAGAAGAAATAAAATGCTCTATATAGACGATATTATAGTCTGCTATAGTCTCTATATAAACAGAACTACAGTCTCTATAAAGACAACACTATAGTCTCAACATAGGCGAGGCTTTACTCTCTCTTTTACAAGGACCAGCTTAAGAATTACGACTGATTTATTATGGCAAGACTTGCGGAAAACTTTCAGTCCAATAACCGTCCAAAATTTGCAATAATTCTGATTTTTGTTTCTTGATTTCTTACTTGCTTTCTGCCATCGGGTAATAAAACATTATATTGACCAGTTGTAAAATCACCATCACGCATTTCAGAATGTCCAAACGACAAACCACTTGGAGCATCATCCACTTGATAGCTAAATTCATATTTAGCGGGTTCCTATTGGAAACAAAAAAACGTTCAAAGAACCAGAGATAGAGATATTATACAGATATAACATTAAATCAAGTCAAATTGCAATAAAGTTTTTGAAAGCGTTTTTTTTTTGCCAAAAAGCTTTGATTTGTTTTTTTTTTTTTCCTGTTCAAAAGCCCAAGTGGTGATATAGTGGTGAATTGAATTTTCAAATTTGTGTGTAAAGTGATTAAAGTAAAACGTTAGAAATCTTATTTAAAGTGCTGCGTGTGGTGCGTTTTTTTAAACCTTAAACTGGAGTTTTTCATTTTTTTAAAAAAGCAAGTAAGTTTTTCACAAATCCTGTTGTAAGTTAAGGGGTTAAATTTTTCGGTAGAGGGTTAATTGGTTTTTTATGTAGTTTTTTTTTTATAGGTTAAAGCTTTTGTAAGTTGAGTAAGCTGGTTAAGCTTTAAAGCTTTAGTTTTTATGAAAATCAATTGAATGAATTTGTTCCTAAAGCAATTTTCTACTCACATTGCTGCCATCATCACCATTGTAACCACCGCTGCCGCCTCCACTGCCACCTCCACGACCACCACCGCCATTACCATTTTGACTGTAATCGTAACCATCACTGCCGCCATTACCGCCGCTGCGAGCTCCACCATTGCCTTGATTGGGAGGTAAGTAGTCTTGGTTGGGTTGACCACCGCGTCCGCCACCACCACCATTACCATTACGACCAGCTGAACCTGAAGCGGGAGGACCATAACTATCAGAAGGACGACCACCAGAGCCATTACCCGAACCTGAACCAGGAGCTCCATAGGTAGAAGAGGGTCTGCCTCCAGCACCACCACCACCATTACCATTGCCATTAGGAGCACCATAAGTAGAAGAAGGTCTGCCGCCATTGCCATTAGAACCGGGAGCACCATAGGTGGAAGAAGGTCTGCCTCCGGCACCACCATTGCCATTAGAACCACCGAAACCAGGAGCACCGTAGCTAGAAGAAGGTCTGCCACCATTGCCGCCACCACCACCATTGCCATTAGCACCAGGAGCACCATAAGTGGAAGAAGGTCTGCCACCAGAACCACCACCGCCACCATTACCATTAGCACCAGGAGCTCCATAGGTAGATGAAGGTCTGCCACCTGAGCCACCACCACTGCCGCCACCATTACCAAAACCAGGAGCCCCATACGAAGAAGAAGGTCTACCTCCAGCACCGCCACTACCACCACCATTGCCATTAGCACCAGGAGCACCATAGGAAGAAGAAGGTTTACCACCACTTCCGCCACCTGCACCACCACCTAAACCAGGAGCTCCATACGATGAGGAAGGTGAACCACCACCCAAACCAGGCGCTCCATAGGAATCTGAGGGCGCCAAGGGGGAACCACCGCTACCAGAACCTCCGCCACCACTGCCTGGTGCTCCATAAGTATCAGAGGGAGGTAAATAAGAGTTAACGGGTGGCTCTGGTCTGGCCGACACCGTTGTCAGCACTAAACACAAACACACTAATTTAAACATTTTTAATTTAAATTCTATTTTGGTTTATTTTTTTCGTTAGATTTTTCTTCAAAATATTCACTTTTCACACTTTTTTTTTTTTAATTTTTAATTTTATTTCCAAGAGGTGGGCTATTAAAAGATACAGGATACACTAAACGATCCTGTTCTTAAGCTCGTTTTTGTTTAGTTAATGAAAATCTTAACTCGTTTCTTTTTATTCCCAAACAAATATAATTCTCTAAAACGTTTGTTCTTATTCCATAAACCGTTGTAATGAAAATCTAAATTGAAACTGATGTTTTAAACAAAAATTTTCAAATATTTATATGAATCGCTTTTGTTAGCGCAAAATA